ACATAGATACATAGAATGTGTTGAAATAACTAGAACATGTGGGCTATTGTACAACAGTGAATTTTGATTGGCCTGCAGAGTTTTGTTGAAAAGTTTCCACTGTCTGTCATGGTGTGTACTAACTGAAGCCAAAACTAAGCTGTTCCAGCCTTCCACGCTAAATTTTATCCAATAGGAAAACTTGATTTAAGAACATGTGAGGGAAAACCTCACTAATTCATGTGTTTTCCCGCTCTAGCTTTCATCTAGAGTGAACTCGCATGCCCCACTTTTCTTCTTCTATTGTTCTAAGCTTGGTGTATTTGGAGACACATGTGGGCCTGTTTGTCCCACTGTTGTTCTCATGGAAATAGGAAAAGGAATGAAAGTAACCCAAAACGAGCACCGACGCCTAACCACTAACTATGAGCGGTGGGAGGGGTGGAGGGATGGAGGAGACTGGTTTCTCGTACGCCTGCCATGTGCCCCCTCACCACCTCCTCCCAATCTCCTGCCCCTTAACTCTCCATCTTCTGCACCCCACTGTTTTTTCTTCTGTTCTGAGTTATTTAAAATGCTGTGTGTTCTCTCTTTCATGTTTGTAGTTGTGATGTTTGTGTGTTCTGAGTGCTGTGTGTCTTAACATCACAGCAGAGATATCTGCTCATCTCCTCTCATAACTCCAAGCATGGGGGGGCGCTACTGACAGTGACAACGTTTATGGCCTTTTGTATGCTTTGTATTGAGTGTTTGAGAAGCATAATAAATTATACCGGGTATGATTTGATAAATGTGTGTTCACTTTTGGTGGCCATGTTTGTGTTGAAATTGTCATAAGCTTTCAACTAATTTTCAGCTGAGTATTGTGGCTATTAGGAGTTCATTGTTGAGAAAATGAAACATTGACTCAAATGACGCATTAAACACATACTGCACATCTGGCTGTCAGGATCACAAGTTCAGATGTCCTCATTCACACTGCACCAACCACTACTCCACATCCTGTCTAAAACATAACAATACAGAGGTTAAACTGCAGAATCAAATATTTATTTTTGCAAGTTTGCATTACTGCAGTCTGCAGTCGGCTGACTGTGCTCATACTGTAATGTTTCTATTTAATTTCTTTGAATAGACAAAACTTTTGCTAAAAGCAGTTGTTTAAATATATCATTATATGTTTTTGTACACGACTGATTATAATAAACACAAAGTCCTGAGCCCCAATGTTATACAATACAAAATGCAATAAGTCTTACATTTACAAAGATCATCATTCAGTTTGTGCAGAGTGTCAAAGAGGTGCTGACTCAGCTATTTGGTCATTTTGGAGGCTGTAGTGCAACAAGATGTGGCACTGCATTAAATTATCGTTAAAGTTGTTTGCAGTATGGGCGCCCGGTTAGGTCAGTGGGTAGAGCTGGCGACCCATGTACCAAGGCTGAGTCCTTGCTGCAGCGGCACAGGGTTCGAATCCGACCTGCGGCCCTTTGCTATGTGTCATCCCCTCTCTCTCTCTCTGCCCCCTTTCCTGTCTGTCTCCAGCTGTCCTATCAAATAAAGGCAATAAAAAGCCAAAAAAAAAAAAGTTGTTTGCAGTATTTTGTTCACTAACATTAACGTCAGTGGAGGTGGCCAAACTACTACAAAGATTTTTAGAATTTAAGCCCATCATGCCAAATCATTCTCTGTTGAGTCAGTAAGTCCATATGTGCTCAAGTGATTTGACATTCAAAACCATTAACATGTCATTATACTATTGTATTACTGTCTTATAAACATTTCACAAACGTTGCACATTTTCTGTCTGTCTGTTTTCATTTGTTAAATACATCTTTCTTATTAAATAGCCTTACTCACTGTCAGCCAGTGGTAGAAGAAGTATTTACATCCTTTACTTAATAAAACGGTACCAATGTCACATTATAAAAAGGCTTAATTACAAGTATTCTTCCTGCATTCAAATTTGTATTTAAAAGACTAGTGTGTAGTATTTAGCTATATATATATATAGCAGTGAAGTTGCAGATTGCAACCAATTAAATACCACTCGCCTTCCAAGCTCATAGGAGAGACTACAGGAGGTGCCTGTGAAACTCGTGAAAAAAGCCCATTCTAGAGCCAGTGTTTGGTTTGTCCGTTCTGGGCTTCTGTAAAAACACGGTGATTCAACATGCCAGTTTTCATGGAAGGTGATTACAGTAACAAAAACTAAACGACTGAGATGATTATTCACTAATGAATATATACCTATAAATATTATATTCCATTACTGCCAATAGATCCTCCTCAATGTTGCACACTGGACCTTTTAATTGTTTGGTTTTTAAGAGAAAAGAGGTTAGAAATACTCATCATAATTTCCCAGGACTTCAACACGATATTTTGTTTTGTCCAACCAAACAGTCCAAACCTCAAAATTTTCACTTCACTTTAATTTGAGAAGTTGAAACCATGAAATGTTTGTCCTTTTAGTATGAAAAATGATCTAAACGATTAATCAGTTATTGAAAGACACTCTTACTAATTGTCTAATCAACTAATCTACTAACTAACTAAATTTAAGCTCAAATTTTATTGGGGGTTTTTGTTTTTTAAAAATGCATAATATTTTAAAAGATGATATGTTTTCTATGTAAAATCTTAATTTGTAAAGGTGGCTGTCAGACAAATGTAGTTGAATAAACAGAGCACTATTTGCCTCTGAAATTTAGTGGAGTAGAAGTATTATTTGTACTGAAATGGAAATACAAGAAAAGTACTTCAAAATTGTACTTTAGTACAGTACTTCAGTGGTTAAGGTGAAGCTTAAATATAAATTGGTAATATTAGCTAAGTGGTATACTTTGGACACTTGAGCACTCAGACCATCAAGCGCACAGTGACACTGTAATTCTCACGGTCTTAGTGGTGTTTGGAGAAGCAGTGCCTCTTTGCCAGCGGGATGTGTTTAGTCCTTGTTTAACAGCTAGGCTCTGGGCTGCATCACAGCATAGACAAACAGACAGACAAGGCATTAGTGATGTGTTTACCATCTGTTCAGGAAGGACAGACATGATGGGAGAGGATGAGGAAGAGAGACATTTTCACGGTGTTCGAAGGCAAGGTTGGGGGGGGTAGTCTGAGGATTTACTACCATACATCAACCGTTATTTATCAGCGGCCAGTCAAACATTGGTGTACACACTGTGGCACACTGTCATCCTTAACTTGGATGACAGGCCATGGTTTGTCAATGATGCTATCTTCTCTATGATACAAGACCCACCTGGGATATGGACCCCAAAGGTGACAGGGAGATAATCACATTGGAAACAGCTGCCAGCACTTAGAAACCCCCTGCTGACTGAAAATATCACACCCAGAATTTTTGTCCCTCACATTAGGTACACTTGCGAAACTTGTCAGATAGTAAGAGAAATGCTGTTTCCTTCACTTGTTTAGGAGGATGCTTGCGTGTGAGGGGAACACAGTTTATGACCCAAGAACATTGGGAGTTGAAAGGTGGTCCATTAGACCCAAGAGAGATAAGGTCAGGATTGAAGCGGGATGGAATATGGTAGAGAAATTAGTTCATTCTTAACTTATATTTGGTGTTGCAATCCATCCATGCCTCCACTCCTCCAACGCTATCTCAGCCCCTAGTCATGCAAGACTTTCTCGCAAAAAGCCTCAATGGAGCTGTTATTTAATTTGATATGTGTTATCGCACTTGTGAGCTCCAGCAGTGTTGATTTTGTCGAAGATATAAGTTATGATTTCTTAAAGTTATGATAGTCTTGGGGGATTTTTTATCACGTCAGAAGAGTTTAAGAGTCTGTGTGATTTGGCCCGAGCAGAGTTATGCTTTCACAAGGAAGGCAATGAGAAGAAGAAGAAGAGAGGGATGGGTGAAGAAATCTGGGAAAAAGGGGGACAATAAAGGAGAGAATTATGTATTTAGTCCGAGTAAAGTAAATACAAAAAAGAGGTGTTATGCTCCATTAATGGCTTGAGCTAGTCTCATTGCCATTCCTGGTAGTGTTTTTAGCTGAGCTGTGGGCTTAAGCCTGGGAATGTTTGTGCAGTAGAAACCCTGGGTGATGTTGTTTGTATTGTTCTATTTCAGCCTGTGTGTCGAACCAGTGTCAGCAGACCAGGACTGCGTTTTGTTTTCACACACACACACACACACACACACCACAGCCATTCACTCATCACCCTTTCTGCGTGTCTCCATCCTGATCCCAGCTCCTAACTCTCTTTATGCCCCGTCCTTGTTTGCATCTATTGGTCTTTGCCCCTTTCAGAAAACGTAGGTCAGTGCTCAAATGAATTGCCATGAAGAGATTCTAGTAAACCCTGCTGATATTCCAAGTGTTATAACAGATGGAATTCATGCAGGTCGATGGGTGTTAGTGCGCAGACATGCAGTCTGCAGATGGATCACTGTATGTCTGTGCTCTCTTTCATTCTATGCTGCGTGTTGTTGTGTCCAGCCCTCCTCATGACACTTTAGTAAACACAAGCATAACACATATACCTCCTGTTGCCTGTATGTCTGCATATGTGTGTGTGTGTGTGTGTGTGTGTGTGTGTGTGTGCTCCAGTCAGACTGGGTTCTTACTGTTTTGGTGGGGACCGGCATGCTTCCATACAACCTGTGTTAGCAGTGGCACGTTAGTATGTATGTGTGACAGAGGACTGCTGTGTGTGCAGGTCTCAGGTCTTGGATAACTCACAGAAAGAGCGTTTTCTTCACAGCCCACTGCTCTGATACACTGAGGGATATGTCACTGTTAAAATAATATATTTAATCTTACAGGTTTTTCTGTAATGACAACCTTTGAAAAGGTTGATGTCTCATCTGAATAAAACTTAAATTGTAAAAGGAGACTTGTTATTAGCTTATGTGGACCTTTATTTTGAAAGTTTCCTCCTCCTACCACAACTACCCCTTACTGTGACTACCCATATTTCCTAATTCTATTTTGTATCTCTTTTTTTGTGTAAAAGGGGTTTCCAGTAAAAAAAACGGTTGGGTGAACATGCCTGTAAATGTTTATTACACAGCATTTACCCAATAATGCCTTTATTTCATTGTGTGTGTGTGTGTGTGTGTGTGTGTGTGTGTGTGTGTGTGTGTGTGTGTGTGTGTGTGTGTGTGTGTGTGTGTGTGTGTGTGTGTGTGTGTGTGTGTGTGTGTGTGTGTGTGTGTGTGTGTGTGTGTGGGTGTGGGTGTGTGATCCATGTTTAATCTTTTCTGTAAGTCTGTTGACACAGAGACCTCTCAAGTTAGCAGACAGTTTATAATCGTGTGGATCATAATTGACTGGTAAATCGAGAATTGGTCTGAGTCATATCATAAGTGTGCTCATCAGGCACACTCATACTACCGTCACTGCATCGATAAGATCTCCCCTTAGTGGAGGTCTTAATTAATTTCCTTCCCATCATCCCCAAACTTTATTCCCATCTTTCCTAACTCCCTATTTTCTCTTATCTTTTCTTCTTGTTTGTCTTTCAGGATTTTTTTTTTTGTTTGTTTATGAAATGTTATAAAATGTTCCAGTGCTTTCTTATTTTAAGCGGAATTCATCTCTACATCCACCCAGGTGTGTGTACAAGTGTGCGTTTTCAGGGGAATGGAGGGAGATTATTTGTTTTCCATTTCCTGTGTCAGTAATGAGTGTTCTATAAATGTTTAGGGAAGAGCAGTCGTGTGTAGGCGTGTTTGTCAGTGTCTATGATAGAGATATGCACAGGTTGGCAGGACGGTCCAGTTTATGATGTAGACAGTATTTACACAAAAAACACACACACAAACACTCACGCATGCACATCTAAATACACAGTCAGCCCCTTGCTTAGGCTTAGCACCCCCTTCCTTTAAAACAGATGTGCGCATTACGTCTTTTTCATTTACCCATAAATACGGTTACCTCTTTGACCTCTGTGATAATGTGGGGTTCAGAAAAAGAAGCCCAGCCTCTCCCCATATGTGACACACTTCCTGGCAAACACATACATAGCCCTCCTCCTTATAGAGACAAAGAGCCCACCAGCTGTACCTCAGAGTAATGACTCACAACAGCGCACTAGTGACGCAGCTCCCTGGTTATTCATGACGAATTCCATGTTTTATTTAAACTTCACTACAGAAAACCTACCCATAAGAGAGCTCCGCATCCACTAAAACAGCCTATGATGACACCCTGTCAGGTAAGAAATGATGGCATGGATAGAGCTGACGTCAGCGATGCAGAATAAAGCCATGAGCCACCTAACATACTGCTAATAGTTTAAAAATATCCAGCTCTTTGACTCCAGTCCATTTCCTTTCTATTGAAGACTTCTCCAAGACGGAGGGATGGAGTTTTGGAGGGAAAGAGACAGTCCATGCAGGCTGGGATCAAGGGTACCTGGGCTCGGCATGGTGCAACATTGCCCCCTAATGTTTAAAAGTCTCCACAAGCCATGGAACTGAATTAAAGAACATCATCTCTTCAGAGGCTAAAACTTTATCTCACTCTTATGAAAACATGCTCATATGAACTTAAAAATGTGTTTTCCTTCAGATAAATCATGAAAAGGATCACACTAAGTTGCCACTAAACTGTAACAAATTTGTAGTCAGCCTATTCCCAGCCAGTCAAGCCAGACTCTTATTTTGAAATAACCTTCTTTGTGCTTGTTAAACTTATTCAACCCCCCTACCTCTTTTCCCTTCTCTCCATGTGTGAGACTGAAACAGGAATCAGATGGGCTGCTTTAATCTTTCACACTACATGTTTCTTTATTAAAAAAAAGATGCAAGAGAAGAAATGTGATCTCTTGTATCATGTCTGTATCACATTTCTGTTTGGCTGCAGTGGAAAATGAAACTGAGCAACTGCAAAATGTCGAAGCCAGTTGTTTTGCTTCGAATCCCATCGGATAAATTGCGGTTGTTTCATTCTGCCTCGTCTAGAAACCGTCTGTTTACCTCAGGATGTTTTCTCCCTGCTGGAGCCTCCTTCGTCAATTAGTAGTGGATGTAATGTACTGTCCTTGGCAGCACTAGGGTTTTGTGTGTGTGTGTGTGTGTGTGTGTGTGTGTGTGTGTGTGTGTGTGTGTGTGTGTGTGTGTGTGTGTGTGTGTGTGTGTGTGTGTGTGTGTGTGTGTGTGTGTGTGTGTGTGTGTGTGTGAGAGAGAGAGAGAGAGTGAGTGTATCTACTCATGAATGCGTATGATTCAGTTTCTCACAGTGTGAGAAAAGTGCAGGGGGTTTAACATGGCCCTGGGGTTTGTGGCTGCAGAGTAACTCTCATCTGGTGAATTACACCATAATCTGTTGCAGCCTATGTCACAAAAATAAAGCCTCATTAATTCCCTTATGTTTCTAAGCACTTGGAGTATACTGCCTTGATACACTTTTTCACATTCAAAGCTATGCGATAACAGAGTATCAGAGGAACTGCAGGTCTGAGCCTGAGTGTGATAAGCAGGCAGAGTGTCGTGTGCCGGGCAGACAGAGTCCAGCCACAGTGACCAGCATGTGGCTGACTGGTGGTGACAGGGCGGCGTGCGGGGACTGTGTGTTTGTGTCTGTGATTGGGTCACATGTCTCCTCTAAATTATAGCCCTCAAGCTCTGAGCCAAGCCAACCTTTGACACACAGAGCAGATGAAGTGCAGATAAAAGACAGAAAGATGCATGTGGAGACAGTGGCTTAAAGAGGATAAAAGGTAAAAGGGAGAAGCACTGATGTAAAAGTTATTGAGAGCTTTTGCCTGTATTTACAGAGAAGCAGCTGCCCGTCCATCCCTCTTCCAGCAAGCTGACCTTCAGCCGTGGGTCTGTCCGTGTCCGTATGCAGGAGTCCATTGATTTCTCTCCCAACAGTCCAGTGTGCAGACTGGACCGCTCGGCTGGGCAGAAACAAAACAGACTCACCTCACACCTTGTGTGGTAATTCAAGCCTCATTTAAAGCAAAAGATTTATGTCTCGGTGTTCCCACAAACATAACAGGCATCAGGCTGATGGAGCCAGACCAGAGGTCACCTTACCTTTAAGAGCTTTTCCACCCATGCCATCTATCATTCCATCTATCACACAACAATCTGTCCAATCAATCACATTGTCTAATCTTTTGCTATTTCTTTTTTTTATTTGTGTTTTTCTTTAACTTGGCTCCTCAACTATGTTTTTTTGAATGAATGTTTTCTCTGAACTGAGACGTGCAAGAGTTGACTGACTGATGGACAAGCCACAGAGTAGTGGTCATGCTGTTGACCACATCCAGTACATTCCATTAATTAATAGATTTGTTTTAAAGAAAACCCTGTTTTGTTTTCATTTTGCATTCAAGCAGTGTTTTGCTCAGTCATCAGATAATCAGGATGATGATGATCAAACGATCAATGATGAAGAGAGTGGTGACAGACTGAAAGTTGTAATCATTAAGATGTCAGACCTGGTTTATTTGGCGATACCTGCGGTCACTGGTGGTAACAACAAGTGCGGTTTAGTTTTACACAAACATTCTTTGAGCAAAAACGCATTCTGTTTCCATCTAGTACAGGAATGGCTGACTCCGCCACTAACAATAAATGAAAACTAATATCTAATGACAGTGAAAATGCGTATCAAAAACAGTTTTTTTTTCATGAAAATCTGAAAAATTATAACTTACCACAGGATATTTAAGAGAACAGGTAACCCACTGACTATTGGCAGATGTTGTAGTTTGTACAATTCAAATCTCTCACCTCGTATTTGAGCAACAGAAAAAGCTAAATCCTCACAATCATTGCAAAAAAATTATGGGGTGATATGAACAAAGCAGCACATTATTCTGTTGTTTGAGCTGGTTAACAGCAGAAAAGATGAGGGAAATGCAAAGAAATGTGGATAAGAAGGGATGAAATTCAAGCTAGCAAGTGATTTGATTAACTGGTCATCTTCCGCTGTTTAGTATATGTGTGATCCTGTGTGACGACTCGCTCTTCTTTGTGTTTAGAATCATGTTTCCGCTCTCCTTTTTAAAGAACTGACACCTCCACACCTTTCACACAAGACAGAATAATGGTTGTAAAAGAGAGCCAGAGATAAACTTTATTTTTCCATTCCCGCTCAACTTAAGGCAAATTTCCGTCTTTTAATAAACAGAAATTTTCCGGTGAACCCGGTCTCGGATTCATCATTGTCATCACCACAGGTTACAATGAGCATATGTCCCTGCTGAGACGCTCTCTGTGTGTGCAAGTGCACTGGCAGGCTCAGATAAGGCGCACTCATCTACAAAATGTCTGTCAAAGCATTGGTGAGTTTGCTCTGAGTTGTTTACATGTTCAAAATCCTGCCAGTCACTCTGAGGGCGAAGACATACTTGTTTGTTTTCCAGCTGTTCTACTACAAATCAATAGTAAGTTTGCTGTACATAATTTAGAGTCAAAGTTTAGTTGCTGTCTTCTAACTTCAAGATTTATGTGTTTTGTTTTTGGAAGTCTGCTTGTATCCCTTCCAGCTTTGCGTGTTGTTATTTGTGAATGCAAATTGGATGTGATTACACATTTGCAAATGAAGCACATGTGTGCATTTCCAAAAGATTTTTTTTCTAGTTGCTATGGTAATGATGAGCTGTCTGACATCCATGTAAGGTGACTCCTGTCCAGGGTGTCTTTTAGTTGACTAGAACAACTGACCTATAGCCAGCTTTGTTCATGCTCCCATAAGGACCCCCACCTCCAATACCCACCCCTCCCCCTGCCCTCGGGCTCAGAAAAAGGTTCATTGTGCAGGCAGGGAGCGAGGCAAGCAAGGCCTGTTTCTGGTTAGCGCGCTGTGCTGCATCTGAAACACTCACCTTCCTCCAGGGTTTGCATCTGGAGCTGGTTTCCTGTTCAGGCTGCGCCGGGCAGGGGCGGAGTTTGGCCCGGCTTTGTGATTGGGCGAGATTGAGCCTTTATGGACCCCAGGATGGTTGGATTGCCAAAAAGTAATCTGTCAATCACTGGAATACCGATTCAAACCAGAGCATAATGCAAGAGAGAGTTTAGGATTGGTGCAAAGGCGTGAGCAAGAAGCCAGTGATGTTTCAGTGATATACTAATAATCCAGTGGCAAATTTAGTCATCAGCCAATCTGCCAAGCCTATTCAGAGAACAAAGAAGTGTTATGTTCTGTATTTTTATCCAAAGTCAGCTTTTCTTTGGGAAATATTGTGTCATGATAAGAAACTCTCTAGTAATTTAAAGTAATGGCTTTATTTGAGTAATTGCAGGCCCTAAAATTAGCATTGTTTTGAAAGAGCAATGCCATTGTTATTCTATAATTGTGTGTAATAGTCACATTAGAGCATGGCAGCAGGACCAGTGCATTCAGTAATGGTGTGTAATAAGAACGTTAGCTTCCTGTTATTACTGCAGTAATTCTGTAGTTCAGAACATGAGCACTGCCCCCTAAATCTGCGCTGTGGACCTTAAACGCCACATGGATTTAGCAGCATTCTTTTCGGGTCTGTCATTGACCGTATTTTTGTAGGGTTTCCTGGGGAAAATGTTAGATGGGTTTTTGAAAGTGAGATGAATGCTGTGGCAAAAAGATACCCTTAGGAAGTCAATTTAAAGGAAACTGGCATTAGTAGAAAATATGTATATATGTAGTGTTTGATAATTGATGCATGAACCTGTAATCCTAAAAGTATTTAAATGTTGTAGATGGTCCAGATGACACAAAGTCTAACCACTCAATACTGGTGGCCCTTCAAAGTCAGCTACCTAAAAGGTCAAATGAATCTAACACAATAAAACACATAATATCTGAGTGCAATACTCTGATCTGTGTTATCCTAAGTGCCATGGAAAGCATGCCGTATTCTGCTCCATTCTGTTCCCAGAGGTGGACAGTATACTACCTTTCCAGTGAGCCTGTGTGCCAGCGCTATGAGTCGGGCATTGTTAGGTTTAGCTTCATTGCTGGAAAGAGCTTTAGTCAGTCTTCCCACTCAGCTTTACTCAGTTAAGTCTTAGTTCTGTACCAAAGACCTCCATTTCCTGCTCTGGCGCCATGGCATGCAGCTGACAGCAGTTTTTATAGATCTCCTGAAGGGACCCAGTTACTGTGCATGCTTCCTCTCACACGTGAAAACATATACAACATACTGTATAGTGCACAGTTTGCACACATGGTTACTGTGGTGCACAGATAACAGTAATTGTATAAAGGTGCCATGAACCAAAAAAGATGTTAAACAAGACATCTAGGGACAAAAAGGTAGATTCTGATTCAGTTTATCTCCAAGGTGGTCCATAGATAAATGTGAGATGATCAGAAAAAAGACAAAGCAAGGCAAAATAATGTTTTCCGACTTTTCTCTGACTTTTCTCTATTTTATGCTTTTTTCTTGTGAAATCTTTTTCCTTCTTAAAATCCCTCAAATGAAACAATCAAACAAAGGAAAACCCACCCTTTGTTTGAAATGCTCACAACTCATAGCCCTGAAATGTGAGGATGAAACCACTTTTCTAGGCAACTTTAATTTTTCCATTTTAAAATATATGCACAATTAAAATAATTTAATCCTCATTTTAGTGGTAATACATTAAGTTATATCCCACAAGCCTCTTTTTAATATTCAAATACCACAATGATCATAAATGATTACAGACATGTTTCTGCTTTTAATCAAGGCTGGTGCAAGGTAGCAGCAAGATAAAACTGCATAATGGTAACTTTGATCAAACCAACAACCTTTTTACTATCTGGCAGCTATGCTGACCAACCTGCAATCTGTCAAGCAGTAGACCACATGTTGCAGAACAATACACAAAAAAACTGGATGGCTACAACTGAGAACACATACCACTGATATACTCAGAGGCCCAGGAGGTAACACTAGTTCAGGTTTGAGTGAAGTTATTCTTGACAAATTATGTGGACCTATAGAGCCCCTCTAGAGCTCCTCTTTCAGCTCCTCCTCTCCCCACTGACCCGTATTGAGAACATCTCAATTTAAAGTTGCATGGCAGCAGGTACTTCTCAGGCCAGGTCTGGTCAAAATGAAAGTGTAACTTGCTGACAGTGGGCACGCTTCTTTGAACTCCCGGGGATCATATGAATGTTCTCCTGCACGTGTACAGACAGATGTGTAGGCGATCAATAGTTCTAAAGTGAGAGATGAAAGAGAAAGTGCTTAGTTGTTTGCATTTCAACAAGAAACCCTTAATGTCCTTTGTCTTTCTCTCCTCACTGCCGCCCACCAGCAGAATAAGCCAGGGACCGATCCTAAACATTGTTTGGCAGTTCGAATGAGTGCAACTTGGAGAGGTATTTGATTTCCCAACGTTTAAGATGAAAAATGTGTGGTGAGATTGTGTTTGAACGGTCCAGAGGGGCGAGTGGTTGGCCGGGGTCTGAGGCAGGGAGGAGTTGTTGGAGTGAAAAGACTAACAGGAGAGTGCGTTCTTCTAATACCTTGGATATTTGGGAGGTTGCGACCGCAGATGTCACCTTCAGCCATGTCTGCCCCTGCAGTAATGGCTTTAACTGTGATGTAAAGTTTAACTTTATATTTGTAATCACGGAAATCACTGACATCAACTGAGTCACTGATGTTGACCTTGTATTGTGAACACTCTCCACGAGGGACAGTCATTTTCATTTCTTCATTTCTCCTCCTCAGCGACTACTTCGGGAGGGACAGACAGTCAGTTCTATGGCTTTGGCTCACCCTCTCTGGGTCTGATTGTAATGCACTTTTGGCTCAGTGAAGAGTTCTTCTGGGTCAGGCACAGGATCCCCTCAGTGGGCCCACCACAAGGTCCAAAGCCCCTCGTTCTCAGAGCCTGTTTGTCTTGGTGGGAGGAACACAAAGCTCTTCACAGAGGAGTCCCTCGTTAAAATGAAATATATCCACAGGGGCATTTGTAGCTCTGTCCGACACAAACATACTGGTCTCTGTCAACAATCATTACCTTTATACTATCATCTCAAATGTAATTCCTCTTGTAATGTCTCAGTATCTTTCTCGACTCCTTTTCTTCCCTGCTTTATTTTTCACATTCTCCCTCCACTCTGTGACCCCGCTGCCTCCGTTTCCCCCTTACAGTCCTATTTTTCATTCAATTTTCATGCTGTTCATCGGACAGATTAGCTCCACACCCTTGTTTTATAGCTCTATGAGCTCACCCTTGTTGTGAGAGAGGCCAGTGTTCTGTAAACGGTCCAGTGATCTACAGCATGTTGGACGAGAGCGCAGCCATCGTGAGGAACTATTCAGACCTGCTCAGACAGGCTCACAAAAACAGGTCACTGCACCTAAACATTGCACCAAATGTTGGATTTGGGATTGTGTGTGTGTGTGTGCAAAAACAGTTCAGTGCCCATGCAAATCCAACAAAAGAATGAAACAAAATTAAGTGTTACCTCAAGAACTCACAGAGCTGTAAAAGTAGTGAATGGAATGATGATCTCACTCACACTCTGCCCATAATTTAAACACTTACAGTATTTTTACAACAGATTCATGGACGCCAACTAATAAAAAATTACGACTAATTAATATGAAATATCAGATGATGTAAGTACTATTTACATTATGATGCAATTTACTGGACAGCTAATTAAGGAATTAATCAACGTGCCATTTTTACAGGTCGGTTTTTGACTAAACAAACAATATCAAACATGCATTAGCTGTGTCCCCTTGTTTCCAGTAGTTATGCTAAGCTAAGCTAAGCGGCTGCTTACCCACAGTGCAACTCGACTGCTGACCCTTGAGTCAAAGATTCGGTTGTGTTATGCTAGTAGTGGCTAATCTAGCCTCAAGCCACTTTGCACCTTACCTACCTATTTATCTTTTTTAATCTTTTCTGTTGTTGTATTTTATTCTATTGTATTTTATTGTATTTTAATGTACCTGGCTGCTACGATGACCCAATTTACTTACTATCTATCTATCTATCTATCTATCTATCTATCTATCTATCTATCTATCTATCTATCTATCTATCTATCTATCTATCTATCTATCTATCTATCTATCTATCTATCTATCTATCTATCTATCTATCTATCTATCTATCTATCTATCTATCTATCTATCTATCTAACCTTAAGCAGAGATGAGAAGCGGGCTACAGAGGTCTGGTAAACTCACTTCTTCTTCAACTCCCCACCTCCCGATTTATCTCTTTCTTAAATGTAATCAGACTTTGCAAAGTTCTCTCTGAAGCTGTAAAACTTTTTTTTCACATATGCAGTAGTACTCGCCAACACCAGACATTGGTAAACAGACATTGGTGTGTAAAATCGGTCAACATCAACATCCATATCAGGCCCCTGGTCATTTTGTTCAGTAACAATCTAGCTTGTTGCACTTTTACGTGTCAGTAAAGGAGAAGGTACAAAAATTGCTGTCTTCTTACTAACTGCCTGTTTTCCATGTATGTCTGTGTGTTATGTGCTGGTCACAGGCTCTTGGAGACTCTGATTTCCCTGCTGTGCTAAGGCAGCTGTTGCCCTTGATGAAGCCCTGTGGAGGCGAGGACAGCGCGGCCTCGGGGTCGAGGTCCAGGGACGATGAATGCGGGCCTGACGAGCTGATCCTCCTGCTGACTTACCTGTACTCCCTGGCTGACGAGGCGCAGCCCACAGACCAGGATACTGAGGAAGAGGAGCTGGAGAAGCTGGAGAGGGAGCTGATAGGAGCGCTCACCCTGGTCATCACCCTAGAGCCCCAACTCAGCCCCTTGCTCCAGAAACTCACAGGTGAGAGAGAGTTAATGTGTTCACAGTTTCATAATTACTTCCAGGAGCGTGCACAGTTTGCCAAATTTGCTGATGGTCCAAGAAGAGAGAAATTGAAGAAGGAGAGTGGTAACAGCTGATTGTTTATGTTCTCTGTCAGCCTCCAGTGCTGTTAATGGGAGGATTTTTATCAAAGTCTTCACACCCCATCCCTCTCCTTCTATCTTTGCATTGAACTTGCTTGCACACACACACACACACACACACACACACACACACACACACACACACACACACACACACACACATTCTGCAGCCATGCAAATACTGGAGGGTGGGAATGTGTGAACTTGCTTGTGCATAGGTGTGTGAGAGAAATTATCCTTCATTTTATCATCTACTGCCCCTCTTCCATGACAATGATATTTACCCGTACAGCATACAGATAGGAAAACTTTTTATTTGTGGTTCAAAGTTTTCAATAGGCACCAGCATGTGTATGTCTACTGGTTTCTTTGGTTCTTCTGTGAAGCATTACAGTCTTGACTGGTTTGGCTGAGCTGGTAACTGTGGTAGAGCAAATCAAGGCCAGCCTTTAAGATGAATTAATCGTCTACCTCCGCACCACAGCTAGCTGTACCTCCCAGAGTAATAGCGTCTTTAACCTTGAGCCTGTACACACACGGCCTCCTCCCCTGCCACATACTTCATAATTAGAGCTACTTTTAGTTTCGGCCGGCTCCGTACCTTAGCACACACCCTGAAATAATACACTGCTGTTAGGGTTTTCATCTCATATCACACATAGGCTCATATATTATATATAGGGTTGGTAAATCTATGTAAGGCACTAATAAAGATTGTTGATCCCTCTTGCTCTTTTTACTCTGTCTCTCTCTCTTCCTGTTCTACTTGGCTAAGTGCAGCTTGGAATTGAGGGGCCTCTTGGCAGGCACAGGCTGAGAGATGTGGCTCATGTTAAAAACCTGACTCTCTGTTATAAACACTTCATTGGAAATTACCCTGTCATAGTGTGCCAGGTGTGTTTTAGACAGAAAGAAAACTGTGTGTGTGCGCACAACTGGGCATGTCTTGCCTATTCAGAGGAATTCAGTAGTGTGTGCACCCTGCTTTTAAATTTGAGTGTGTGTATGTGCGTGCGCAAGTGTCTGTGTGCGAGTTTTTATGGCAGTCGATGAAGTGCTTGGCTGGGGTAACATGAGGCGGGAGGTCGTCTCTCTGCATCCAGAGCAAAACACTGATTGTGACATTCTCCCCAATTAAAGGACTCAAATGGAAACCAGACGTTGAATGAAACCTGGTCGCCATGAGAACAATGTTTTTACAAATTCTTCTATTTTGTTCCTTGGCTACAGTGCATGTACAAACAGGGTGCAGAAACACAAGAACAATATACACACACAAGAATGCCAGAACCAAAGAGAAGAAATAAGAACGAGTGAGTTCTTGAGAACAGGACGCAGGACAAGCTAATGCAACACACCCCGACCCTACTAAATACCTCCTTCTGCGAACTTAATTAAAGAGCATCTTCAGGAAATGGTGCTCCTCAGACTACTGTGTACTGTATATTTGTTGTCTGTTCTATGTTTCCTGTCAGCCCTGGTGACGTTCTGTGGTGCAGCATCAAACTTCCATGAACACATTTTTACAATAAAGCAGACAGCTGGTTTGGTTTGTTGCATAATCCATCACATGGACATTTACCTTCATTTTGAAGGATATTTTAAGGATAAAGTCCCATGGGCATTTAAGACAGCAAAATTTCATGGTAAAATCAGTTCAATGCAGAGGAATTTCAGCAATCTGCCCAGTGGATTTGCTCATGGGGAAAAGTACATTTTCTGTGTTTATTTTGACTGAAATTTGGACCTGGCAGTTCACAACAGTAACGAATAGCGAGCCATCTTGACAGTGCTGACATTTAAGGGAACAGAGAGCTGAAGGGTCCAAAATGGAGGTAGCTTTTGTAGATTATTCAATTTTATGTGACCCTCTCTGTCAGAGTATAAACTGCTTCACAAAAGAGGTGGTACAAAGAGACACAATGCTTTGCAGACAGTTGTGAGACTGGAGTCGATGGTAGAAATAGAACTTTTGAATAAACAGTGTGGACTTCCGTTCCATTAGTTCTCAAAACTGAGCTAACGAGTTCGCTAATTGCCAATGATCAAGCTTGTTAGCTCAGAGAGTTTTATTTTCCCTCTTCAATAACTTTTTATTGAACAAAATGGTGCACAACAAAATACCACAAGGGAGTAAACAGAACAAAACAGTTAAAACAGAGAAAAGCTTGAGAACCAAATATCCAAATATTTAATTTATGTTTCTTACAGACTAATTTCACTGTGCCACATTCCTGTTTACCCAGGCCTTTAGATGATACACACTATTTTCATTATTGTCAACAAATCCCATAAAATGCCCAAATCAACAATTTGTTAGTCTGTCTTTTACAACTTCCTGACTTCTTTACCTTGCTTGTGACTGAGATCCAAGCCCATTGGTTCCTACTAAAGATGTAAATCTTTTAAAATGGGACGCAAATATATACAGTCATATCTTTTTGAAAAGGCTATATCATTTTCTGAAACAGCAAAAATGACTCAAACAGGAGTAAATAATGTATTTGCTGGGGACTATTTTCAGCAGCAGATTCAGTGCTTAGTGTGGATTTAGGCCATCAGGGTGGTTTATTTGGGCTTGACTCAAAATAAACTACAGTGGCCATGTTGGTGGCAATAAAGGAGCATGCCACTCTTAACAACAATTGTACCCATTAAAGTGTTTCATGTGTAGTTTTTGGACAATAGAGCTCTTGGCTATAGCAGGCATTGGCTACACAGGCAGTACTTGTTAGAAGGATTCATTCATTGTTTGTTTTGGTATTTTCATTGGATTTATTGACAATGAGAAAAATATAGAATATCACAGAATAACCCTTTAAATTACATATCACCACATTCCTTCATCTTGCAGCTCGACACAATATGACGTGTTGAGTTTTGCTATGTCTGTATGTCTGCATTTATTTACACAATGCAACTTTCCCATCACTGTGTGAAATGCATGTGAAAAGAACATTGGTACTATACAATACAGTGCAGTATGTCTGCATTATTGTCTTCGGATATGGCTTTGATTAAAGGCTTGAACAGTATTTATACAAGAAAATGGTTCCGCTTATTGGAGGCTGGGAAATGAGCTCTTAAACCAAACGCTCCACAGCCAACACCACATGTGGAAAGAGCTGGATTGGTCATGGGCAACGCTGCGAATGGAGAACAAACAGTTTGATTGGATAAGGAAACCACTGCTCTTCTGAAACCTGGAGTCTGATTGGCTGCTGCCAGACAGTCCGTGGTGTACATGGGTGGTGTGTGTGATGTGTGCAGGTTGTAAATAGCTCCAAGCAATTACTGTTAATCTCTCATTTAGTTGTGGCAAAGATGACATTGATGCTGGTAAGAGAGTAAAAAATTTGTGTTTCTCAGACTTCTTCATTCGATTTGTTTCCTGTCAGCCTTGGTGGATTTTGTCTTTCTTTGGTACAGAATCAAACCTCCTCCCTCTTCTGTCTCATTTTTTCTTCTCTTCTCTCAGAATTGGGGTACAGTGGGCCAAGAAAGAAAGCAGGCCAATCCAAATGTTCCTAATTCTTCACCCTAGGACATCTAGTTAGCTGATGGATCATAGTTTGTCTGCACTTATGTCAGTGTGTGGGTGTGCAGTTCCAGTAGTGAGAATGTGAAATCCCAGTCCCCAGATGGTGATGATGGTGATTTAGTGGCAGCAGTGACAGGAGAAGGGAAGAAGGTTGCAAAATAACTTTTTATGTGAGATTTGAATTTTAACTGGAATTGCAGTGGTTTCATGTCATGTTCCTCTCTCTCTGCCTCAGACACACATTGGGTTTGTTATTCATCCTGTCAGTGGGGTGTGCACAGGGCAAGGAAGAGGGGAGCAGTGGGAGAGTCGGACCTCCCCAACGCCGCTGTTTGGGTTGGCACGGCAACACGGGCCAGTCAAGGGACATGAAAGGGATCACACATAACTCTGGCCACCAACTCTCCGTCTGCCTACTTTTTAAACTTTTTCTTCTCTTTGTTTTTTTAATTTCCTTTTCCATTTCTCCCTCTTTCTCCCTTTTTACCACCCTGTTTTTCTTCCTCCTTCCCTCTCTCTGAGGCCCTAAAGCACCCGCCTGGTTGCAGGGGGAAGTGGCGCATAAGTTAGCCTAATGATCGCGCCTGATTAAATATATTTCCCCCTGTTGCACTGTGTTTATGAAATTAGTCCCAATTATTTTTAATTGGTGGTCTTTCTATACTTCCTCCTCTGTTACACAAACACACAAAGACACATACACACACATACATGTATGAGGTGAAAACTGTAGACCCCAGGGTGAACAAAGCAGCCAGTGGCGTTGTTCTCTTTTTGTTCACTTCATCAGATAAGCTGATGACATGGAGCTCAGGCTTTAATTAACAGAGGCTCATCAGCTCCTCACTGCCGGGCCAGACAGGCCTGGTTAACAGGCAGGCCCACACACAGACTCACGATCAGACCCCCAGACTCACACCCCGCCAAGTCTGCTCCCAAGTCAGCACTGTGGTTGGGTCTCTATACTGGGTCTCTTGTTTCTTTGTATCCATCACACTTTCTACTTTCTTCTTCTCTGGCTTATACTGATGTAGACCCACAGGATGGTGGGACAGTTTTGGTAGCAGGTAACAGGGAGGCAAGGAAACAAATGGCTAGAATTTAGCAAAGTAGCGATATAGATAAACTGGCAAATGCATTTGAAAAGCTGAGGCAGAACTCATGAAGCCTTTAACTTTGCAACTTGGTGGATAATTTCATTTTTATTTGTCAGTGAAATAGTAAATCATTGGAATGGATAAATTTGCATTTATAGTTTTAAACAAATTTTTGTCCAGAGACTGTTGTTGCATTGTATGCAGTATTAGTTGGCTGTGGCTTAGGTGGTTGAGCAG